AAAGTACATCAGGAAAGAGACCTCTTTGATCCTTCTGGTTTATCATTGTTCTGGTAGGCATAACACCCCCTTATTGAACCGATAGCTGATATAGATATCAAAACCTAGATGACGAATTGAACCAAGGCGCCGCACAACTTGCTAAAACATACGATCCAGAGGAACAGCGCACTATTGGTGAGATTTATCGAAACCATGATTACTGGCAAATGCTGATAAGATCTAGTCGTGTTGACAAAGCCTGACTTGCTCTCAGGGAACGCAGACCCAGAGCAGAACAATCCCGAAGCAGTGGCGTATTGGCAGAAGAGGGTGAGAGACTCGGCCAATTGTTTCTGCGTTCGCCAGCCAGGGCGAAGTAATGCGGGCCTGCATTGGACAGATGCCCGAAGGCAAGAGACGATCTTTTTCGAAACGCATTGGTACTCCCTATTCAATGACCCAATGACACGTAATCGATTGGGTACGGACAATTTGAGGGAATATTTGGCTACCCGTCTCTACGAATGGATCCTGAAAAGGTGAGAGGCAGATCAGCACTACTAGTCTTGCGAGAATATAGACCACTGATCCGTCACCGTAGACTTCCAGACCTTCAAAAGAAAGCAAGGTTGCGATTACACCAGATGGAAGTAGAATTGGAAAGCCTGCCCAAACCGGTCGACAATCCTATCGGATACATGGATAACTTGATATGGGAGTTTAACAGAAAGATTGAGCAAGCCACCGATATCCACAAGTTTCACAATCCACCACTCACTCAAGCTTGTCGTGTGCGATTGGAGGAATTCGATGATATGCTAGTGTATCAACTTCACCCTCGATTTCGCCCATTCTCCCGTGAGATATTGAGAAAGGCTCCTATGAAAGAGTATCAAGAAGAACATGCTACCCCAGCAGAAATCCCACAGATGAACCGGAACATCCAAATTCCCGAGCCCATATATCTAGAGGAGGTGATGGCGAGATCCAAGTACGCTTCTCTTGATTTGAATGAAGGTCTTATCTTAAATAACTATCCCTTACAGTGAAAGAGGAAGAGAGGTTCCAGGGAACTATCCGTATGGGGTCAAAAAGGACCTAATGGAAACGTCAATCTCCATGTGGCGAAAGGAAACGGATGAGATGCTGGATGATATTTCCCAAATGATTTTAGATACATTGCAAAATATCATTTCTGAATCCTTTGGGCCGTATAAAGCGAGCGGACTCGAGGATATAGTTTCGTCAGTAACTGCCCATCCCCGAGAACATCTACGCTGAGATTCTTCAATAGAGAAACCGTGCAGAATCATATCCAGTCACTATATAGTGAAGCAAGAAGTGCCCTTCTGGCATCTCAAGAAAGGGAGAGTGTCAACTCTGCGATTTTCGGCCGCGCAGAATTCAAGGCTTTTTACAAAATCTATCTCGAACACTACCTCTCTGGATTCAAATTCATCGAAGATGAAAATGAGTCAAATGGAAACGAAGTAAATCCA